AATCAATAAATGTCAATATTGTGGAATACCCATGAAGATCCGGTTTAGAGTAAGGTGACTAACGGGATCGGGTGCCCAGGCTTGCTGACTTCGTTGATGCATGTCATCTATCCCAGTTGTGTGGATCCATGCTCAAGATGTCAATCTCTGGATTGTCTAGTCCAGACTTGATTATTTACAGACTGCCTTCATATAGCTTGAATATTGCAAACAAAACACTAAAAACATTATTGCTCAAATAGATGGGTCTTTAGTTGGGATTTAAAGGTGGTTAATGAAGGGGAGCATCGGAGGTGTAGAGGAGCATCGGAGGTGTAGGGGGAGCATCGGAGGTGTAGGGGGAGAGAGTTCCATAACACTGCAGCAGAATGAGGAGAAGATCTGGCTCCAAAGGTCAATTACTTGTAGGAGGTACTGTAAGGAGGGACTTGTCAGCTGAACGAAGAATCTTGAAGGTTGATACTCCGAAGTGAGAGTGAGTGAGTGAATATGGTTTTACGCCGCTTTTAGCAATATTCCAGCAATATCACGGCGGGGGACACCAGAAATGGGCTTCACACATTGTACCCATGTCGGGAATCGAACCAGGATCTTTGGCGTGACGAGCGAACGCTTTAACCACTAGGCTACCCAACCGCCCCCCGAAGTGAGAGCTTGAAGATATGGAGGGGAGACTGGAATACAAGAGATAGGACTTTGAACTGTAAAGTGATTTTTGTGACAGTAGTGTGGATAGCATGTTGCCAGTTGGCTGCAAGTTTACCATCATCCAAGAGCAATGCTGTTAAATATTAATCAGTTTGTTCCAACAAGTCAGTCTGGTGTCCTGCTCAAAAGAAGTTCAGGATCATCCGATTCTTTCATATTACTATAGTTAATCTGTCATGCCATGAACCCCTGAATCTTTTATATTACTAGGCTCGCTGACTTGGTTGATACATGTCATTGATCCCAATTGCGTGGATCGATGCTCATGATATCAATCACTGGATTGTCTGGCCCAGACTTGATTATTTACAGACCGCTGTCATATAGCTGGAATATAGCTGAGTGCGGCATTAAACAACAAACAACCAACCAATTATATTACTATAGCCTATCTGTCATGACATGAATCCCCGAATCATTTATATTACTTTAGCTGATCTGTAATATGAAATAATCGAGTGCCGTGACATATTAACTATTGTAACATGAAAGAATTGGGCATCCTTACCTTATTTGAGTAATATATATAAGCGGTTACTGCAAATTTACATACATTGTAGCACTTAAACGTCCACTTGTGAATAATCAGAGCATCAGTAGTTTGCATAGATGTATTAGAATTGTGTCTGTTGGGAGATAAGTTGTCAAGAACATACGACAGGGATTTAGCTAAAGTCGCCCCTCCAGCTTGCACTAACAAATCAACAACTATATCTGAACCTGTATAAATCAGGAAACCAGGCCACAGCCTGCCCTGAGGTTCGGGGTGTGCTGTGTGACATGGAATGTGGGATTTCTGGATGTTTTTCTCATGAAAAAGGACCCATGACTGATGTTATGTGCAAGCTCAGTGGCTAGTGATGACATACCAGGTCATGCTGTAGACAAGCTCAGTGGCCGGTGATAACATACCAGGTCATGCTGTAGACAAGCTCAGTGGCCGGTGATAACATACCAGGTCATGCTGTAGACAAGCTCAGTGGCCGGTGATATCATACCAGGTCATGCTGTAGACAAGCTCAGTGGCCAGTGATGACATACCAGGCCATGCTGTAGACAAACCCAGTGGCCGGTGATGACATACCAGGTCATGCTGTAGACAAGCTCAGTGGCCGGTGATAACATACCAGGTCATGCTGTAGACAAGCTCAGTGTCCGGTGATAACATACCAGGTCATGCTGTAGACAAGCTCAGTGTCCGGTGATAACATACCAGGTCATGCTGTAGACAAGCTCAGTGGCCGGTGATATCATACTAGGTCATGCTGTAGACAAGCTCAGTGGCCAGTGATGACATACCAGGCCATGCTGTAGACAAACCCAGTGGCCGGTGATGACATACCAGGTCATGCTGTAGACAAGCTCAGTGGCCGGTGATAACATACCAGGTCATGCTGTAGACAAGCTCAGTGGCCGGTGATAACATACCAGGTCATGCTGTAGACAAGCTCAGTGGCCAGTGATAACATACCAGGTCATGCTGTAGACAAGCTCAGTGGCTGATACTGTAGATGAAGTAGTCTGGTGTAACTGGTTGCTGCAGCAGTCAATGCATGGTCATTGTTGCTCAGATATCAGGCAACAGATGGCTATATCACATCAGTACATATTTATTTACGGGGCGACAGTAATGCCCAGTTTATATATATTGTGGAAACTACTGAGCCAGGTGGATGACATGATAACTGGGATAAAGGAGGCTGGTTGCTGTGTGTTCAGGCAGACAAACCAACTGTCATGATCAGAGCGAAACTGGTATTTGATCCAGGGCATTAAGGGAAGCACAGGGAATTCCATCTTGTTTTACAATCCCTAACCTAAGGCCAAAATATATTATTGATTTTTTGTCCAAATTTATCGGAAATGTGGCGCAGCTGTGTTTTTTGTTTTTGTGTGTTTTTTTTTAAAGAAAATGATTAAGGCACCGGTGTACATTAACTGTTGACAGATGTGAGTGAGACCCGAGAAGATCCGGGTTAGAAGAGATCTTCAGCAACCCATGCTTGCCGTCAAATGCGACTATACTTGTCGTAAGAGGCGACTGTAGGGATCGGGTGGTCAGGCTCGCTGACTTTGTTGATGCATGTCATCATATCCCAATTGCATGGATCGATGCTCATGATGTCAGTCACTGGATTGTCTGTTCCAGACTTGATTATTTACAGACCGCCATCATATAGCTGGAATATTGCTGAGTGCAGCGTTAAACAAACAAAGATGTGAGTCAATAAGTATGGGTTTATGCTGCATAAAGCATTATTCCAGCAATATCATGGCGGAGGACACCAGAAATAAAAGGAGTTAAGAAAGAAAGGAAATATTAAAATATGATAATTTAAGGGAGGATGTTTGGTAGTCAGTCAGCTGGGAATGAAAATCTAATAGTTAATTAAAAGCCTACCCTTTCAGCTACTATATTCTATAATTATCATAAAGTGTGGGTTTTATAATGAAAATGCATAATAATGTAAATTCGGTTGGAAGAAAAGGCAGAGTCAGCAAACTGCCAATATTCAAGCCTTTTCGTAGTGGTAAAAATGCATGCCATCAATAAACAGCAAAGATAGCTGTTTTAAAGTACAGCTATACATACTATTATCAGTAACCAGCTGTGTACTCCCTTATCAATTAGGAGCTGAGATAATCAGTGACTAATTAACAGCTGAGCGGACCTTTATCAGTTAACAGTTGTGATAACGTACATACCATTATCAGATTGGGCGACAAGATAATTTTCACCATCATCATGTGATCTGACTACATATTTGTTTAGGACAGACCAATTTGCATGTTTTGCGGACTTATTTCCCCCCTCCAAGATTCATGGAGGCAGGAGGAAAAAAGTTGCCTTTAAAGAAAGGAAAGATCAATGAGTGTAATTATTGCTGAATTGAGCCTATTACATGTGTTTAAACAGTGTTACACGACGCAGAAATATGCATGCATATATGCACAAATGTACATGATGTATAAAATGGATACAAAAAATAGGTTGCATCTTGAGGGTCACAATGATATTTATTGTGCCTTTTCCTGACAAGAAATATAGAGTTCCTGTTGTTAAAGTAATGATCAAATCTTGCTGTACAGTACACTACGTCATTTCATTACTTTACAGGACTCTAATACTTCCTGTAACGACCCTTCAAGTTAATTATTTGGGGTCCTCTGGGCCCCTAGTTTTGTAGGTCAAGGTAAACTTTGAACAAGGTATTTCTTGTGCAAAACAAGCCAATATTTTGGAAATCATATTTCCATGATTATTTTTTCACCAGTATTTTTGTTTCATCAGGTAAAGATTTTGTCCATTTTGAGATAGTAGGTTACAGGAAATAACTAATACGGAGTGTTCATGTGTAATTCAGCCCACATTTTGGAAATTCATATTTCCATGATTATTTTTTCACCAGTATTTTTGTTTCATCAGGTAAATTTTTTGTACATTTTGAGATAGTAGGTTACAGGAAATAACTAATACGGAGTGTTCATATGTATTTTTTTTATGTCTAGAATAAAAGGGCAGATTTTTACTTAGTAGGGTGGTATGCTATATTATCGCGGTAGTTAATTTATAATGGATCATAATGGCGCACGCTTACTAACCTATTAAATATGTCATATGCAAAATCTTCTTGTTCTTTGTTCAACTTTTATGACACATCAGTTAGGATTGATCGCTGTTGATTTTCTTTACCATGTTCAGTAAACTAAGTACCTTTCATTAGCAACTCAAGGGAGGGCAACTCTGTTATCGTGTTATGGCTATTTTGTGTGAACACACAATGCCTTTTAGAAAGTGGTCAAATGTAACAAATTTTTAATTGGGATAACACTTTCTTAGTAAAGTACAGATTCTTGTACAAATTCTCGTACTTTTTTTGGTTGAGTCCCGTCCTGTATTCGATCAAGCGATGAAATATCGTGCTCCGATTTGCATAAGTAAACAGTTGACAAGGGTCGTGGATTACATGATTTACCGATACAACGATAATATGGAGTCATACTTTACAAACTGGGCCTGTTCCTCAAGCGATATTAGCTCTTTTAATAACATGTAGCCGTAACATCCCATTGTGGAACAGGGCCCAAAATATCACAAAATTGCGGCGTAAAACCATACTCACTCACTCACTCACTCACTCATCTTAGCGGAAAGAAAGTTATCAGTCAGGCGTCAACATTGAGAATTGTCTTGGAAAATATTCATCATTATTTATTATGTTTAATATTCTATGCATGTTAAAAAGTATTTGCAATTTTTTCCGTTTCCTAATACTTTGTAATGTTTTCAGAATGACCAAACCAAGTAAGGAAAATGAGGAAGAGAAGGCCCTGGGTGAAACACCACATTGGAACCACTTAAACAGATGTGTAAGTACATCTTAAACAAGGAAATGTGTTACCTGGGAAGATCCGGGGAGAATAGGTCTTCAGCAACCCATGCTTGCCGTAAAAGGCGACTATGCTTGTCGTAAGAGGCGACTAACAGGTGGTCAGGTTCGCTGACTTGGTTGATGCATGTCATCAATCCCAATTGTGTGGATCGATGCTCATGATATTAATCACTGGATTGTCTGGTCCAGACTCGACTATTTACAGACTGCCATCATATACTATAGCTGTAATATTGCTAAGTGTGGCGTTAAACAACAAACCAACCGTGCTTGCCGTAAAAGGCGACTATGATTGTCGAAGAAGCGACTAAAAGGATCGGGTGGTCAGGCTCACTGACTTGGTTGATGCATGTCATTGTATCCCAATTGTGTGGAACGATTCTCCTGATGTAAATCACTGGATTGTCTGGTCCACGATAGCCTAGTGGTTAATGCATTTGCTCGTCACGCCGAAGACCTGGGTTCGATCCCCAACATGGATACAATGAGTGAAGCCCATTTCTGGTGTCCCCCGCCATGATATTGCTGAAAGATTGCTAAAAGCAGCATGAAACCATGCCCGCTCGCTCACTCACTCACTCACTCACTCACTCACTCACTCACTCACTCACTCGAAGCAGCATTAAATGAAACTCACTCACTCACTCACTCGAAGCAGCATTAAATGAAACTCACTCACTCACTCACTCACTCGAAGCAGCATTAAATGAAACTCACTCACTCACTCACTCACTCACTCACTCGAAGCAGCATTAAATGAAACTCACTCACTCACTCACTCACTCACTCACTCACTCACTCACTCACTCGAAGCAGCATTAAATGAAACTCACTCACTCACTCTTGTTTTGTAGTTCCCTCTGAGATGGATAATGGCCAGTCAATGCTTGATGTCAACATGTAAGTTGCCACTTTCTCCTCTACACAGCTGCTGCAGTGGTTTGATGCTTAGGACATACATGATAACAGGAATTATGAAATAAACGACGAGTGGGAGTTGTTTATCCCCAAATGGTTTATTCTCCCTGCAGTGTTTTATTTAAGAATTGAATTTCACTGTGTGAGAGTTCATTGGAGTATGAACCTTCATACAGCGCAGGCCAAACTGTATGAACGTCAGAGTCAAATGTGAAGGTAGTCCGTCAGCGTTTACGTCATTTCAAGTCTATACAGTCTCGTGAAAAATGTAAGAATGTCAAATTGTGTCGTTCATACGTTTATGAACGTCAGTTTCACAGTCATGTGACCGGCCTCTCTTCGAATGGAAAAGCTGTATATTGTGTAAACTTCAAACTAAAAAATTATTGTACGATAAACAACGTTTTGTCGGGAGATAAACCACGCTTCTTCTTCATTGTTATTGTGATTTATCACATATCTATCTTATTGTTTCTCATAACTCGTAAATTGGTATGGACTTCTGTGCATGATAAAGTTCAAGATAAGCAGTGAAAGAAACAATAGTTTTAGTCCACTAGTCCTTATAACATATATCAAAACCCTTGTGTCAAATTTCTACTAGTCCTTACGGTAACTAAACGTTTGGCCAGTTTGGCAAGGACTAAAAAGACTAGTACTAATTTCTAACGTTGATTAGATACATGACTACTAATCTGGAGAAAGACATTAGACATGTTTGCACCTTAAAATCAGAATAATTACATCTGTGCTAATGTTATTTATGTTTTAAAGATCACTCACAGTCGGCGACTTTGGCCACTAGTCCCAAATCCAAGTCTAGTAAAATTATTTTCGTTCTATTATGCTTAACTAATAATGGTCCATATGACACCTCTAAATTCTACTGAAAATGATACCAAGAGAGCCATGTCCATGCCAGTAGTCTCAAAACTTATTGTCACACACTACAATCAGTAATTTTGTCCTTTTTTTTACGAGTCATGGATTGGAAGACTTGCTATTTATTCAAACTAAGGTTAGGGTGAATTGATTTTCTGTTTTTGAAACAATGATAAGTTTATGGATTGTCTTTCTTGAAATGACCCGTGAAGATTCCGGGTTAGAATAGGTCTTCAGCCGCCCATGCTTGCCGTAAAAGGTGACTTTGCTTGTCGTTAAAGGCGACCAACGGGATCGGGTGCATGTCATCGATCCCAATTGCGTGGATCGATGCTCATGATATTAATCACTGGATTGTCTTGTCCAGACTCGATTATTTACAGACCGCCGTCATATAGCTGGAATATTGCTGAGTGCAGCGTTAAACAACAAACAAACCAACCAACTTTCTTGTAATGTAACTTGTCTTGAAATTCATCATGATCATGTTGATGCGTCTTGTCATCAAACTTTGACATCTTTATTTTTGTTACAGAGATACTAACTTACTGAGCGATTTCTTTGAAGAGAACAATGGTGTAAGTATTTCACACAGAATCACTATTACACTTTTGGGGTATTTTCATGCAAGTTGAATCATGCTTCTACAAATACATTTACTGTATACTTTCCTTCCAGACAAGATTCAGGTTTCGACTATTTCTGACAATTCTCAAATTTACCTGAAATAGCCCTCTTGAAGGGTAATGGAGATTGATAGCCGAGTGTGTTTTCATATAATAAAAATCATGTAGGAATAAAAATTGTTTGTTGCAAGCCTATGAAAGTCATGCATATTGTTACTGATATGCTGCTCAACTTTGGAAAGGGATATTTTAAAAATATATTATTATTTATTATATTATTTAAATAAACGCTTGACGTAGTATGAGAGGATGTTTTGTGTGTCAATTAAAGATAAAGTTATCCCATGATCAAAAATAGAGTAGTGTATTTGATTTTGAACAAAACAATTATTCTTGTACCAGTTTGGAATTTAAAAAAAATCAGTGATGTTTGACATATTTTTGCTCAATGCAGTAACTTAAGGAACTGCACATCCAGTGTTTTAGTGAACTGCCACATTTACCATATAGTAGTGCTAGATATGATATTGTGTTCTTCTGTTTTTCCTCCAGGTCCCGAACATCTCGGATGTGGACTGTGCATCCTCTGCCTTTGATTGGGCAGATGACTTCATATCCTCCGCCAGCACCCCGTACTCCATGGAAGGGGGATCTGAGCGGTCGCCAGCTACAGCAGGCTCCCTGCCAAGCACCAGCCCTGCATCATCGGTCGTCGAGACGCAGGCGTCCACAACTACCCCGCTTCCTCAGGTGGCACAGGTGGTCGTCACGGCGGGAGGGGTCATTCAACAGCTCCCTACTACCCTGGCATCACAACAGATCCTCCACAAGTCCTCCAACATCATACAGGGGTGAGTGTTGTGCTGGAATATTTATGACATGATTTCCTGCCTTGTTCATCCTCTGAGGCACAGGTGGCCCCGTTGTCTGAGAGGGTTGTGGTCCTTGGGCATGCCAGGAACTTATGATTATGGTTTTGAATCTGGGTTCGACCTGATTATTACCTGTGAAGATCCGGGGTAGAATAGGTCTTCAGCAACCCATGCTTGCCATAAAACACGACTATGCTTGTCGTTAGAGGCGACTTACGGGAGCGGGTGGTCAGGCGTCATGACAACATTATGTCTCCATTTTATTATGATATATACTCTGGACCCTTTTGCCACCAAATTTCTGTTTCGGAAGTGATATCACCAGCTCCAACTCTCTTAGCATAAAAAAGCATTCGAAATCCATGTTGAATCATATGGTAGGTTTTGTCGTTGATTTGCACCAAAATCTCATTTGTATAATAACCATATTTCAGAACCTTGAGCACCTGGTGGTATCGAGGGAAATGTAGACATTCTTTATGAGTGAATACATGATTTGTGTTAAACATATTGACCTGCAGACATGTGGTATTTTGTGTTTCAGTATTTCACCGGGCACCCAGCACTTTGTAGTGAAGGCTGATGCAAATGGACAGCTCCAGTTTCAGCCCACCCCCGGATCCAGCCCCGCCCCCACCCAGCAGTTCTCAGTCCCCTCCCCTGCCATCAGTCGCTCCCTCACCCCTAGCCAGAGCCCCGCCCCCTCATGTTCGCCACATATCAGTCGGTCCATCACGCCGAACCAACCCAACATTCAGCAGGCCCTCTCCTCCAGTCCGTCCCCGAACATCCTCCATCTCGCCACACCACAATCCCAGCCCCAGGTTCAGATCACGAACACAGTACCAATCCAAAGCATCATTCCGAATCCTAGTCAGAATGCCAGTATTATCCCCGGTCAGGCCGTCCTCTCAGGCCACGCCCACAACATCGTCCACACCCAGAACGCCGTAATCCAGAACCCTAATGTTGTCAATCTGAACGTGGCCACTCACGTGCTGTGCGGCAACTCTCAGCAGGTGGGTCAACAGCCCGCGGGACAGATACAGAGCAACATCCAGGGTTTGCCTGTGACGGTACAGAACACTGTAGGCCTCCAAGGCAATCAAGTCAGTCTGCAGGGCACCATCATTCAGACCCCCGGGGGAAAGAGCATACTCATCCCCAACCAACAATTAGGGGGCCATCAGATCAACCTGGGTGCAGTGCATCAGCAGGTGCTTCAGGGGCAGCAACTCATGCAGGGTGGGGGGACGGCAGTGCTTCAGAACACACCAGGAAGTGTGGGGGTGGGTAATGTGATACGGCTGGCCCCCCAGCCAGGCCAGGACAAACCTGCCAGTGTTGTGCCGCCCAATATTAGTTTAGTGAACATCGGTGGTGCTCAGGGACAACAAATACTGATTCAGAGAGCACCACATCCTGCTCAAGGGCAACCTCAGAATATCATATTTAGAACAGTACCTCATCCAAATCTCATCCAAATCCAAGGGAGCCAAGCAGGTCAGGCCAACCTCCAAGGGGCCTCCCTCCAGGCTGCTTCCCAGATCTCCCAACAAATCCTCAACCAGGCCACATCGCAGAGCGTGCAGTATCAGCAGGTGCTCCCTGGTGGGGCCCAGCCCCAGCAGGTGAAGCTGGTGGGGGGGCAGGGCTCCCATCCCACGTCCCAGGGAGTCACCCTCAACCTGGCGGGCCAGAGTTTGAACCTTCTGTCAGGGCAGAACCTCAACCTACAACAGATCCAAGGGCTGGCAACAAGCACTGTGGGCTCTATGCCAGGGGTGCAGGGCATTCAGCTTCAACAGAACGGCAGTCAGTATATCGTGCAACCAGCTCATACTCAGCTTGGCACTCAGCCACAGACTGTGAATGTGTCAAGCATCAATCAATCTACAAACATTGTGTCAAAAGCTTTGATCTCATCCGGCCTTAGTCAGGTTATTAATACTCAGATTAAGCAAGGCCAGGAGCCAAAAAGTTCAAATAGTGTGTCCGAAAGCCCTACAGTGACAACGACCAGCAAGAGTAAGTCGAAGAAGTCCAAGAGTAACCCTGATGGTCAAGTGAAGGGCTCTCCTCAGCAGCTGGCCCAGAACTTTCAAAAGATCCAGATCCCCATATCACAGTTCATAGCAACGGCATCCAACGCTGCAGGCATCCACACAGCTCAGTCCACACCCACCGCTGTCACCACGACTGTAACCCAGGCCATGGTACAGGTCCCCGCTCAGCTCACGCTAGCAAATACACTATCTGGATCACAGATAGTGTCCTCAGTACAGTCTAAGAGCTCTGTAGGCATCATATCGACCCCATCCACAGCCTCACAAATAAAGATCCAGCCCCAGGTGATCAAGTCCGGACCACCCAATGTAACCCTGGCTCCCCAGGGGACAGCTTTTCAGACCAGCAATACCGACCCGCTCAAACTGCAGAGGGTGCAGCTAGAAATTAACAAACTGTTGAATCAGCCAAATCTTACCCAAGACCAAATACAAAAACTAGGTAATCTTCAGCAGTGTCTAAAGGATTCATACCCCTCCAGTGTTATTCAGACTTCCCAGCAAAATGCTGGTACTGTGTCCCCGAAACCTATCAAGCCTTTAGTTCAGGCTTCATTGACTGCCCAGCCAATGGTGGGGCAGCCACCAATAGCTCAACCTCAAGTTGTCGTTGCGACTGCTGCAACTCAGATAAAGACTGAACCAGGTACACAGCCGATTTCGTTGCAGTCCCTCGTCAGCCAACCGGGTATTGTTGTCCAGTCTCAGGCAGGCGGAACTGGAGTGATCCAGTTGGCAGTGCCCCAGCAGACCACAGTCACTGCACCAGCAACGCAGATGATTACAACTGTTGCTCAAACAGGCCAACCACAGTATTTGCAGACCGTGATAAAACATGGGTCACCGACCAAGACTATCAAGATGGCACCGGGGGGGACAACCCAGGTGATTCAGATTCAGAGCTCCCCCGTCACCACCGCCACGCCAACAAGACCTGCGGTACCTGCGGGCACGACGGTCATCAGGACGCCACCTCCAGGGAAAATGCCAATATCTGCCACCCCGTCACTGCCAACACAGATAAAGGTAAGTCTGATGATCACTGGTAGTCAGGCCAGAATTGTATTTAGGTGGGGGAGATTTAAGATATTTGGCGGGGCGGTCGGGTAGCCTAGTGCTTAAAGCGTTCGCTCGTCACGCCGAAGACCCAGGTTCGATTCCCGACATGGGTACAATGTGTGAAGCCCATTTCTGGTGTCCCTCGCCGTGATATTGCTGGAATATTGCTAAAAACGGCGTAAAACCATACTCACTCACTCACTAAGATATTTGGCCGAAATATAAAGAATAAAAATATTACAGTTTCCAATATGTTTGTTTATGCTGGCTAATTATAGTATTATTATATTTTAAATAAATAATTTATACAGTAAACTACTTTTATAACGAACTGACGGATATAACGAACTGACGGATATAACAAACTATATTTTGGCCCCGTCCATTTGCTGTATGTATTCCGTACATTTGTTATAACGGATTACGGTTATAACGAATTACAATGAGTGGTCCCTTTGAGTTCGTTATAACCGTAGTTGACTGTGTTTATAGCTACAGTGAATGATTTGGTTCTGTTTTATTACTTTTAAACATTTTTCTTATTTCTGGCCTGTGGAATAAACAAACACCTGCTTTTCAATTTTTTTCACATTTCATTTATTGGACTCAGCGGATTCTTAACCAAGTTTTAAAAAGTCTGACCCCATGTCATACTTTTGCTATGCAGCAGATTCTCACTGTTGGGGACCTACTACTAGTGTTATACTGATAGGTCTTCAGCAACCCATGCTTGCCGGAAAAGGCGATTAAGCTTGTCGTAAGAGGCGACTAATGGGATTGGGTGGTCAGGCTCGCTGACTTGGTTGATGCATGTCATCGATCCGAATGGTGTGGATGGATGCTCATGATGTCAATCACTAGGTTGTCTGGTCCAGACTCGATTATTTACAGACCGCCATCATATAGCTGGAATATTGCTGAGTGTGGCGTTAAACTCACTCACTCACTCAGATCAGGGAGTATTATTATGGGTAACAACATCTTTAGTATACAGACACACCGTCCTGCTATTTCCTGTGTTTCTGTGCTCCCCTTGCACTGTCTTGCTGTTGTCATGTGATTCTGTTGCGGACTTAGGGGCGGTCATGTAGTCTAGTGGTTAAAGCGTTCGCTCGTCACGCCGAAGACCCGGGTTCTATTCCCGACATGGGTACAATGTGTGAAGCCCATTTGTGGTGTCCCCGCCGTGATATTGCTGGAATATTGCTAAAAGCGGCGTAAAACCATACTCACTCACTCACTCACTCACTGTTGCGGACTCCCCTAACACCAGCCATGTTCTCCCGACACAGATAGCCAACCAGATGCTGACGTTGAACCTGACCTCGCAGCAGAAGGAGAAGTTGCAGCAGCACCTGGGGCGCATGACGATGGAGCAACAGGAGATGTTCCTCAAGCAACAGCAGCACACCCTGGTCAAGCTGCAGCAGCAACAGCAACAGCATATACACCAGCAGATTCAGGTGATCCGAACAACATCACCGCAGACCAAGCCACAACTGCTTGTAGCAAACCCACCGGGCAAAATCCCCATCACTGTACAGGTATGTAGAACCCACTCAACCATCCACCCACCCATCAAAGGCAACACTCAACACCATACAGACACATAGAACTCGTTCACCCATCCACATTCCACTGGGCAAAATACCCATCCTGTTCAGGTATGTAGAGCCCGCTCAACCATCCACCCACCCATCAAAGGCAACACTAAACACTGTGCAGACACATAGAACTCGTTCACCCATCCACATTCCACCAGACAAAATACCCATCCTGTTCAGGTATGTAGAACCCACTCAACCATCCACCCACCCATCAAAGGCAACACTCAACACTATACAGACAAATAGAACTTGTTCACCAATCCACATTCCACCAGGCAAAATACCCATCCTGTTCAGGTACGTAGCCCACCAACCAACCCATCGAACCCACTGAGCAAAATACCCCTCGCTGTACAGGTGACCCATGAAGATCAGGGGTAGAAAAGGTCTTCAGCAACCCATGCTTCCCTTAAAAGGTGACTAATGAGGTCGGTGGTCAGGTTTGCTGACTTTGTTAATGCATGTCATTAATCCCAACTGCGTAAATCAATTCTCATAATGTCGATCACTGGATTGTCCGGTCCAGACTTCATTATTTACAAACCGCCATCTTTTTTTTTTGCAGCAAATAGACAAGGGCATCAACCAGATCAAAGTTGGCGTGGACGCTGTTCAGACCAGCACACCCAACCGTCCCACGAAGAGGCCCGCCCCCTCCGATGTATCCAAGGGAACACTGTAAGTATAGGACGGTGCAACAGGTGCCCCCTGGCGTCCAGGCCCTCTTCTACATCCCGATCCTAGCACTATGACTGTCATAAGTATAGGGAGCTGTGATAACCATAACTCTCTGCTGCTCCCTCTAAATGACTTTGATGCTGACTTTTCGCTACACAGAGCTGCTGACTGTCACATGGTGTTTTTCTAATAGATTCTCCTTGCAAATCTGCATTGCACTTTTATATGCTTCAGCCAAATGCATGTGTCATGACAAATCAAACATGATTCACGTCGTAAGACACTTGCCTTAAATACGAGTACATTTTATTTCTTGTTACAGTATATTAATTTACTTATTGGACTTGAAACCGGATGGGTAAAGATATCTTATTGGCCAAAACTCTGTACTCTCTCAATGATTCCAACCCGATAAGCACATGGAAAGTTCCATGATGGAAAATATAAGTACACATATTCGAAGGCAAGTGTTTTGGGGATCAAATCGTGTTGCAGTTTTCATGGGACTATGATTCATGTACATTATGGCAGGGTTGTTGTGGTATGTTCCGAATCGGGAATCAAGCAGGAAAACACTTTGGGACAGTCCATAGCTCTGTGTAGTGACAAGTCAATATCACTGTAGTTTATAGGGAGTAGCACAAAGTAAAGGAGTTTCTGAATCAGGAATCAAGCAGGAAAACACTTTGGGACAGTCCATAGCTCTGTGTAGTGACAAGTCAATATCACTGTAGTTTATAGGGAGTAGCACAAAGTAAAGGAGTTACAATGAGCTTAAACCTTAGACCTCTTTGTGGAACAGGGCCCAGGGGGCCGCGTACTTCGATTTGTTCTCACTATCAATAGGTGAAATTGGTTTCTCCTGTTGATGTCAGTCAGGTACTTTTGGTTGGATTTTGTGTTTGTGTCATTTTTATCAGGTAGATCTGTCAGGCAGATAAAAATAAATTGAAAGTGTTATATTTTCTGATTGTGACATTTTACCCAAGCTGTCTTAATCAGTAAACTGAAAATGATGAAATCATGTGGCCTTATTAACTTGGTGTACATGTAGTCAGGGTGACTATTTGGGGCTATTTTCACTATTGGGATACTGTTGCAATAGGGGGCATGGGTGGCCCAGTCGTCTAAGGCGCTGTGATTTGCTGTGCAGAGTTGTGTCCCTTTGGCATGCCAGAAACCTATGATTGTGGGTTCGAATCCCGGTTCACCCTGATTATGTTTCTAGGTTTGTCAGCACCAAATCCGTGCTTGTGGGTGTCACCGAAGTGGTAAACGTCTGAGACCTGCATCACTTCGGGCTTTCCTCCCACATTAAGCTGACATATGACTGGAATACTGTTAAAAGTGGCGTTAAACCCAACTCACTCACTCACTCACCCACTATTGCAATAGTATTGAACTAATTTTATGGCTTGATAATTATACTCATCAGTGTAATGTCAAAGTTGGCCTAATCTCTAACCAAAGGGAAGTAACTCTTAACTGAGGTTGTCGTAATCCTTGCTAATCAATACATGAGAGGTTTGAATTTCTCGTTTTCTGATGCATAATTTATGATTTATTCATAACTATTTGTGACTATTGAAACTATTGATTGTTATGCACACAAACAACAATATCATCGGTTTATTTAGATACCTATTGATTTTGTACAATCGTAGGGCAAACAATTAATACCTTGATAGTTTGATATGTTGTTATTCCCCTAACATGTACTGATGATATGTTGTTATTCCCCTAACATGTACTGATGATATGTTGTTATTCCCCTAACATGTACTGATGATATGTTGTCTTGACAGCAGTATTCACCAGCAGTTAGGCAAGGACCAACAACATGCTGTCAATCCAGACACCAAGTCTCCATTCAAGGACTACAAGGAGGCATGTCGAAGGTTGCTGCGATATCATGTCTTTCAGCACCATGGGCCAAAGCAAGATGCATTCAAGAAAGGTAACGATTTTGGTGTCACTCAGATTGATTTGCGCTCATGTTTCATAACTGTCTCAGAAGTGTGAAGAAATTGTATTCAAACAATCAAGGACTGAGTTTCTTTATCTTTATTGACTCAAAATGGCAGCAGGATGGTTGGAAAAATGCTCAAAATATTGAAATACACACCATATCCTACAGTCGGGGCCATGACAATTTGAACTCTCATCAGTTGCATTATTAGAAATATTATGTAAGTAAAATTCATTTGTGTTGCTTAAATGTATGTCATCGACACATATATTTATTATTTGGATTTTTAAAAAATAAGTAGAGAGAACTGGCTTGATATATTTACAGATACAAAACTGGTCCAAGGGAGATAACTCATTGCTGAAATGTGTCTTTAGTCCTCATTGATTTCTTCAAGTTTCAAATTTATGTGTCAATGATTTATGAGATATTCCTTGATGTTTCTCTGTTGTGATCATTATGTGTGGTGTGTAACGTCTGTTTCCCCTTGCAGCGGAGAATGTGTTTGATACAGTGTCTGAAGACCTGTTGAAACGAAGTCATACGATGATGAACAAATACAGACTTCTGCTCCTGGAGGAGAGCATGGTAGGTAGATGGGTGTACAGAGAAGGGCTGCTGTGGCCTGCTGCTGAATAGAGGTTGGCTGTTGGTAGAGGGGTGTGGTCTGTAGGTAGAGGGGTGTTCAGAGAATGGTGGGTGTGGCCTGCTGCTGAATAGCGGTTGGCTGTTGGTAGAGGGGTGTGGTCTGTTGGTAGAGGGGTGTGGTCTGTAGGTAGATGGGTGTACAGAGAAGGTTGGGCCTGCTGTTGAATAGAGGTTGGCTGTTGGTAGAGGGGTGTGGTCTGTAGGTAGAGTGGTGTACAGAGAAGGGGGTTGTGTAGCCTGCTGTTGAATAGAGGTTGGCTTTTGGCAGAGGGATGTGGTCTGTAGGTAGAGGGGTGTGGTCTGTAGGTAGATGGGTGTATGGAGAAGGCTGTGTGTGGCCTGCTGCTGAATAGAGGTTGGCTGTTGGTAGAGGGGTGTGGTCTGTTGGTAGATGGGTGTAGCTGTACAAAGAAAGGTGGGTGTGGCCTGCTGTTGAAAAGAGGTTGGCTGTTGGTAGAGGGTGTGGTCAGCTGGTAGAGTGGTGTGGTCTGTTGGTAGGGGTGTGTGGCTACTCTAGAAAGGCGTTGCCTCATGCTATACTTGGGAAGGCTGTAGGCAAAGAACTGTAGTTGTAGCCAATTGGGTGTAGCTTGATGCTTGTTAGAGGTTAGCTGTAGGTATTGGAGTGGCTGTTAATATTGGCTACAAGCGAGGTGGGAGTGGCCAAGGAGCAGCCCCAGGGACTGACACTATCCCACTGTTGCTAGTAAAAGTTACAAATGGCTTGTGGCAAGAGGGTTATTATTTGCTGGTTCAGTTCCTCAGAAAACTAAAATTATATATTGGCATGGCAACTTCCTCACTCACATATACTACTCAACAGTTGCTAAGGACCAAAACAGTCCTCTTTAGTCAAAGGTGTGCTCCTATTTAGTCAAAGGTGTGCTCCTTTTTAGTCAAAGGTGTGCTCCTCTTTAGTCAAAGGTGTGCTCTTCTTTAGTCAAAGGTGTGCTCCTCTTTAACAAAGGTGTGCTCCTCTTTAGTCAAAGGTGTGGTCCTTAGCAAATGTTGGGTAGTATGGTAGTATTTTGTGAAGATGTTGCATCGTTGAATGAAGTCAGGGGGCACGGGTTGCCCAGTCATCTAAGGCGTCGCGATTCGCTGTGCAGAGTTGCGTCCCTTGGCATGCAGAAACCTATGACTGTGGGTTCGAATCCCGGTTCGCCCCGATTATGTTTCTAGGTTTGTCAGCACCATACCTCGTGCTCGTGGGTTTCAACGAAGTGGTAAAACGTCTGAGACCTGCATCACTTCGGTCTTCCTCCCACATTAAGCTGACACGCCGCGATATGACTGGAATTCTGTTAAAAGCGGCATTAAACCCAACTCACTCACTCACTCACTGAATGAAGTCAGATCCCAATAGCTCAGTGAGCCTCGTGTTGAACTCTTGTGCCGGAAGTCAACATTGGCTTAACATTACTAAACCAAAGTAATCGCAAAAAAGCAAATGAATATATTGAGGTGAGTTGTCTGTTCCATGTGTAGGACATGTTGCACTGATCGTCAGCTAACGAGGACGTTGTGTTTACAGAGGGATCGACCGTCTGCGGAGATGGTAATGATCCAGCGCATGCTCAATCAAGATCTCACAGCTGTCATCAAAAAGGAGAAAGATGTCATCAAGGCTGATCCAGGTACGGGCAGTCGCTTTTTTGTTTATATTCTTCTCCGCGAGATCTCCCACAATGCTATCTGTTCACGTGACACAGAACTAGCTATCTTTTCAAAATGGCCTCCATTCTCCTCTTTATGTGTGATGTGTAAGGCTAATCATGTGATGCAGGACATGCTATCTTTCAGGGTTCGTACAGGCTTAAAAAAGTCTTCAATTTTAAGATCCCACTTGAAAAGTCTTGATTTTTTAGTGTCAATCTTGAAAAGCCTTGAAAATCACCAATATAGCTTGAAAGCCTTGAATTTGTACAAAATGACATATACAGTACTTGTTTATCAAAGTATTAAAGCACACAAAAATATGTACCAAAGACTTTTAAGTGAGATTTATCACAGTGATAGATTTATGTGCCAAAGACCAAAGAAGAATTCCGGACAGACTCAAAATTGTGTGATGTTCATGCTGCTTTTTAGGTCTTGCAACTAAGACATATATATGGTATGCTTGATTTAATCAGATATTGACAGACTATAGGCTATTAACCCAACTAAAAAAGCCTTGAAAATGACAGTTGGCAGCCTTGAAAAGGCCATGAATTTTAGTGTTCCATACCTGTCTGAATCTTTTCTTTACAAAATTGCCTCCATTCTCCTCATTATGTGTGTGTGTAAAGCTAATCGGTTGACGCAGGACATGCTGTCTTTACAAAATTGCTTTCATTCTCCTCATGTGTGTATGTAAAGCTAATCGGTTGACACAGGACATGCTATCTTTACAAAATTGCCTCCATTCTCCTCATGTGTGTGTGTAAAGCTAATCGGTTGACACAGGGCATGCTATCTTTACAAAATGGCCTCCATTCTGTAGACGCTGGAGGAAGACCTGGCTAGAGACTACGCAACACTGCTTGACATATATTCTTTGACAGTAATTAGCTAGGGATATCGACTTTTCTAATGTAATCGTGTACGGCGGTGAATTATTAATTTAGTATCGATGTTCAAACATTTGAATCAGTGCATTATTGACATTAAACAAAATTCCTGATACATCAAGATTGCAATATTGTATGACATCCTACCTCACCGGGACATTGCTGGAATATTTAAAATTGGCTTGGTTGTAGTAGATGTTGCCTTTTCAACTGAATGTCTGGAGTATGCTGTGTATCTATGTGCTATACACATCCCATGTACAGTTGGGGCTACAATAGGCCCACACGCACAGATACTGGTCGTAAGAGACTAAGTGGATCAAGTGGTCATGCTCATTGATCTGGTTGATTGCCTTTCCTCGTACCCTGATGGATTAGATCAATGCTCTAAGTATCAGTGACAGGATTTTCTGGTCCAGTTGGTGTATCGTCCCAGCCCTAATGATACGATACCTCTGCTTTGAGATAAGGATACCTCCATGGAAGATGGCGTTGGGTGAACCTTGAGCCAGCGTTGACTGACCAATCTAAATGAAGGCTGCGTGGGTTCTTTGACACAATCATCTGCCAGCTTTCTAGAATGATTCAGTGTCTTAAGAACATTCATGGAATAAAATTTAAAAAAAACATTCAGCACACTACATATACATGCATGAATGATATACAGCTCTTGAGAAGACTTTTGTGATCCTGGGCATTTGAAAAAAAATGGCTGAAAGGATTTGGAACTATCATAGGCCCTCTTGTCTGAGACTTGTGAAGTTCAGGGAAGGACATTTGACATTTCCTTGTTGACTTCCACAGTTACCATTTAGCAGTTCAATATTGCAGACTAGTGAACATGAAAATTAATTTGTGACCCTGCTTTGTAAAAGCGGCAGTGTATGCTCAAACGTATACAGAGCTGCAGATAAGCAGCGTATTTGCGTAAAATACCCACCGAAAATATTCAAAACCCAATTACTTTAATAAAGAAACGCATGCATTAAATTATAAACTCGAATGTATTAAAAGAGCACGTGTAAATACCCAAGGAAGCTTTTTACCATGCGTGCAGCATGTACAAAGGAGCTAATTTCCGTAATACAAAATTACGAGATAATTTTGTTTCAGAGTCAAGCCTATATATTTAGAACATTTATTTACATTATTTTTAAATCTTAAAATTTTCAAAACCAATAGAGTCATGAATAGATGAGTGAAAAAATATTGGTTACCCAATGAAAACTGTAATAACCCAATTAAATAGAAACCCTAGAGTAAAAACTCAATTGTTCCAGAAGTTGTTTGGAGCTCTGTGTATATATGTCTAGTAGCCCAAACTGGTCCCTTCACATCATTTTCAGTATGTTTTAGTGTTAATGTATGGATTGGTGTGAGGTAAGTTTTTTAGACTGAAAGAATTTTGACTTGACATGGGCTTTAGTTGCATTATGGACTAATCAACAGGTTCATGCCCTTTTGCAGCAAGTATACTACACAACGATGTTAAAGAATGACAGCTTGACTATAGTAATATGAAAGAATCGTGTACTTCAGGGAGGAGAATCTTCTGCGGATCCGCAAATTTTAGTGAACACAAATTCTCATGAACCTCCTATAAACACCCCTTAAATTATGGGACTGCCTCCGTGGTCTAGTGATAGAGCGTCCGCCCGGAGAGCGGAAGGTCCGGGGTTCGATCCCTGGCCGCGTCATATCAAAAGACGTTAAGAGATGGTTCTTGTTGTTACCCTGTCTGGCGCTCGGCATTAAGGGGCTAAAACAAGGTCTGGTCAGCTAGGAGTCAGTATACTGTGTCCGAGTGGGGTGTTTATGTTAAACTGCTGCATGGTATCTCAGTGAGCTAGCACTATAAATTGGCATCAGTCCGGACTAGTACAAGCAGCCACACAAACACACACACGTACATGCACGTCGCTATATAAGTGCAATATTGCAGCAATAATCTTGGACGCGACATTTAACCCCATTTCACCTCACCTTAAATTATGGACCATGCTCCATTGAAAAGACATTTCAGCTAAAAAGGAAAATATCCATTCTCATCCCTACTTTTGAGTTGTATACATTGTGCGTCAATGGGTTTCTGTGAACTTACTGTTGATAAGATATGAATTTTCAAAATAGATTGATAATACCGTTTTCGACATATTAAGCGACCCGATCTAGTTAGCGCCCACGGCGATATTTGCTAATTTATTGCCAAGTGAACAATCCCAATTAGCACCCCTTCCGATTAATCAATGTGCGCAAGACTTATTTATTCGTGTATAATACGCACTCGTGTGTTATATGCACCCTTAATTATGGGCAATAAATTCTGGAAAAATATATCTGTCGTATATAAACAGTCAGGCCGTCAGCATAAACCACGAAATTTATCTTTCACCAAAATAATATTCTAATAAGAGCCCCCTATTTCTAATTTTGATATCGCCCTGGGCGCTGATTACGTCGAATACGGTAAGTCCTGTTACATCATGTGTACCAGATGAGAATGGTGATGGAATGTTGTGTGTTGCAGATTCCTTTGTGCCGATGCCGACCAAGTACTTAAAGAAGGAGAAAAAGGAAGAGGACAGTGCTGCAGAAACAAGTGCTCTAGATACGTCTGCTGTCAAGTCCGAGACTTTTACTGAGTCGGAGTATAGTGATCACGACATGTCCGAGTCATTACATCAAAGCTCTGCCTCCGCAGAATCCGAGAGGATGTCGGTCAAATCGTCACCCATCGTACCCCCCGGCAAAGTTAAGTTAGTGATCAGGAACGATGGGCGTGGGTTTACCAGCAGTCTCAAAACAAAAACTCCTGTGAAAACGGAACCGCCGAGTCCGCGGTATGGTCAGGTAACTCCTGAAGAGACGCCTCCGAAGGGTGTGGTGAAGGGAGAATCTCTGTATATAAATGAATTCCAGTCCGACCATTATGCAGACGAGAGAGACGACTTGAATATGTCCGGGGAACGGGGGGACGAGAGTGGGAATGTGCTCAGTCGGGAGCTGTCAAGTGCTAATGCCAGCAGTGATCTTGACACAACAGACTTACAGGCTGGATTACGTGAGCCCAGCTTCCAGGCTCAGCTAGCCCAGAGTTGTGTGAGTGAACCTGGTGGGGAGGAACGACTTCAGGCATTCCATCATTCTGGGGACGATCCGTTACTGAAGGTGAAGGGTTCTCCTATTGCATCTGCTGTGTCGGGGGACTCCCGGCTCGAGGTACATCAGCCTCACTACAGTGATATCAGCATTACAGACGTTTCCGGGGACTACCCCAGTGTGCTGTCCCCCATCCAGAAACCTCTGGATTCTGGGGGAACAGTTTTAGGGGAGTTCGCATCTCAAATATCGGAAGACTTTGATCCCAGCAGTTTTGATTTTCCTGAAGCACTGACGGGAAATCTGTGCTCGCAGTCTGCATCTGTGTCAACGGTGTCGGAACCTGCTCGGACTGCATTTAGTAGTATTACGGCTGATGACGGGTTTCATCATCAAATGGACTTGGGTAACAGCAGGACCAATCAACTGAATGTGGCATCCAGTCCCATTGCTGCTGTTGCTGCTGCTGCTGCTGCTGCCCATGATGTGTATGATAGTGATGATGATGGTTTGCCCTTCACGGCCACCCCCCGCCCCCATACTGCTGCCCCCCACGGAAACATTGAGGAAATAGATAATGCTGTATCCAGCATTATGGACTTCGATGATGTGAGTAGTGATGGTAATGTGGCCGATTTATCCACGATATCTTCCGAGAAGGATCTCGGGTCAAATGCAGATGTTCTCAGTAGCAAAGATCTCCCCCAAAATGAAATGATGTTTTCCCCGGAAAGTGGACCCAGTAATTCCCAGGACGAAAACAACCAGTCTGACGGAATGGAACTGGATGCTTCTTTCGAATCTGATGGTAACGACCCTCAGAACCATATGATGAATGCTCAAATGCAGAGTGCTATTGATAGCATTCTGAGTTTAAACCAGGTTGAGGATCCGGCAGCGGTGGCAGACTTCATGGACCAGTCGGGTAGTATGACTAGTTTCTATGACAATCAGCTGACGGAGGTGACGGACACCAGTCAGGACGAGAGTGAATACTATGGGGAGGAGGGGGGTGGGGAGTCGGAAGACAAGCCTGAGGAGTCCGGCTCCGGGGACAAGGATGGTGGAGAGACATCCATGGAGGATGATCTTGATGCTGCTGTGCAGAGTATATTAATGTGAAGCGGTGCTACCTTCTAGAGCTCTGTGTCGGACAAGGGCGGCAGGGGTTTCGTCTGAAGCATCACAGGAAATGCAGCTTCATGAGAATTAATGCTAGAATTAATACCAGAATTAATACCAGAATTTAACTAAAAGACTAAAATGGCTGAAGAAATTGAATAGGACGTAAGAAATGATGTGCAATGATTGAGACAAATGGCAGCCGGACATGTTCATGCTTTTGTAAAGTCTTGATAAAATGTTTTTCTGATTCACTACCAAATTTGAAAAAAATAGCTCTTTTGGTCCTTGAACATTTTGGGTGACGATCGGTCAGTGTCCTAGAAAATGAAGGTATCTGAAGCCGTAATGTTATAAAATAATGTGATCGAATGGTATTTCAGATTATTTCAAAACATTGTTTTATGTCCCAAAGCGTTTAAGTCTGATTTACTCGAGTTAAATAATACACTGCATGTTTCGTTTGGAGGTACATATATCACTAGAGGGTTTTGCTTATTCTCCCTGAACTCAGGGTCTACAACCAACTGTCGTCATATTGCTGAAATATTGCCAGGTGCGAGGTTGAACAAATGAAACAAAACATTAGTCACTGATATTAAACTAACCCCTAATTTTTCTATTTGGTCGAAGTTTACAGTAAAACATGAATTAGTGAGTATTAACACTGATTCTGGGCATTCATGAAGCAGTAATTCCCAAGATGATGGTATTCAGACACCCTGCCACCAAAACACAATCCTAGCTACTTAAACCAAGAGAAAATATTCCATTTCATTCAAATTTATGTGTCATGAGCACATAAAGCGTGTTTATACCGATCCCAAACGAGAGACTTACCATACTTAGAGAAATTTCATGGCATAGATTTGTTAGTAAGTTTAGGAAATATTTCATTCTAAGTTTTAGATATGTTACCATGGTTACCTTCTATTCTGTTACTTTGCTGAAATAAAATAAATTAATTTAGTTTCTTTGAAAAGAAAAGAACCACTTGTTATTCAACAATGTTTCGTTTCTAGATGCTACAAACTAGACTTAATTATGAGATCAAGGTTCACCATAGTTGAATCCAGTTGTAGGTTTGGTTTGTATTTGAGTTTTTTAAATTTGATTGGAAACCAATCTTCGTCTCAGTCATCATATTTCATTTAGTTTATTTAACTAACGCTGGCAACCATGTGCAATAAGACATCAATTTTCACTGGAGGCGGCATCTTCCCGAGGCAAGAGCATCCTCTCGCCTTTTGATCAAAGTCTTGTTTCCACCCTTGCCACATCAAGCCCACTATCCTGTGCTAAATATGATTGGACTGTCGCACATATCGATAGTCACATCAGAAAACATTTCACAAAATCAACATCCACAGCTTTGTATGAAAGTGATTTACAGCTGGAATATATTTTTTTCATCTTTTAAACACCCAAACAATTGCCTATGTGTTTGTGTCCGGGATGAAATTGCGAATGTTTTCATTGTCAAATCGGCTTGGGTCGTCGCCTATGGTAGCCACCATCTTTATAAAGCTATACGAGATTAGAACATCGGTCTGATTGACTATCACGTTTTCATTACAAGGGGCACAACTCATGATATATGCAAGGTGGCGCCAGGGTCGAGCCAAGAAAGTGGCCTTGATGTGGCAAGGGTAGAATCCAGGCTTTTGATATATGCTATTTGACAGGCTTGCCTTGGGAAGATGTAGAGGAGGGGCGAGTATAATGTTAGTATTTGATAGAAAACATGACCTTAGTTATTGCTATTTAGTCAAATTGTGAAGATATTGTCTCATGAAACATGAAATTGACACATGAAACCTTTGACTTGAAATGCTCATTTTGTTTCTTTGTGAGAAATGTCATTTGTAGCTGTGTGTTCAAGCTGTGTTGAGTTATCTCCCTTTAGTTTGCAAATTAGGCAGAAAAATAAAAACAATTGCTTCAAAAGCAATTCGTCTTGAAGTTGGAACATAGCTGCAAGTAGGCAGGCAGCCTATTATGTTTTAAGAAGTTTATTAACAAGGAAGCTGGTTTTTCAACTAAAAGCAGAAATAGTATGCTATCATGCAGAGCACTTGACTGCCTGTGAATGAAAACAAATTTCTATTAGTCGCTGATTATTTAAGGACATGTATAGGAATAAAGGAGTTGATGAATATTGTGTCTATAAGCCAAGATCTAGTACTTAAATGGTCAATCTCCGGTGAAAATAGTTTTCTTTGCTTGAATTACGTCCCATCTACAGTTTGGATGAACAAGTGTTTAAGAACACTGACCATTGTAGGAAGAAATAGAAGAGGAAAAAGTTCGACAGAAACCAATTTTGAGCGATGATATATAAAACTCAAAAGAAGTTAAAGAACAGATTTTTTCATATGACTATAGTTACTATATAATAGGAAAGATTCCGGTGTTCTTTAACTTCTTTTGAGTAATTTATATGATACACTGTATTGCACTATTTCAAGGTTTGACAGCACCATATCCGTGCTCGTGGGTTCCACCAAAGTGGTGAACGTCTGAAACCTGCATTACTTCAGGCTTTCCTCCCACATTAAGCTGACAGGCTGTGACATAACTGGAATACTGTTTAAAGCGGCGTTCAACCCAACTCACTCACTTGTTCCCTTTGTTGATGCCTATTGAGGTCCTGGTGTTAACAGAAACCATGCTGTGCTATGTAGGGCTTGGAAATACCTATGCAAGGAGGGTTTGACAGGTTTTGACAGAAGATGAAATTTACCTGATATGGCTATTTTTTCAACATCACTTCCTGTTATATGTATCTATAGATGGTTGTATATTTTTTCAGAAAAAACGCTCCAATCTCTATCTTAAATGATGCAATAATATTTGTCATATAGTTTATTTTTCATTAGCTCTGTTAAATATCAGTGTCACAATGAAATTGATTGTCTGCATTAAGAGATTGTTATTGTGTGTGGGAAAGAAATGATTTGGAAAATTTAAGATTCTTCTTCAAGAAGTGTCATGGTAGACAGTTTTCAATGCAACTCTCCTTTGATGGTGTTTTTTCATTCATGGTTTTTGAGGCATTATTCCCATGTGAAAAAGAAATATGAGGTTCTATTAACTCCTCCAAGATAGGAAACATATGAGGGTGATTGTCTTTACCCCTTTTTTTTGGTTTACGATAGCTGAGTGAGTAGGGTTTTATGCTGCTTTTAGCATTATCACAGTGGAGACACCAGAAATGGGCTTCACACATTCTACCCATGTGGAGAATCGAACCCTGGTCTTCGGTCCACGAGTCAACACTTTAACCACTAGGCTAGCACAGCCCCTTTTTACCATAGCCATTATGGTTTGGTGATGGAAGAACATCTGATGTACTGTATCCCATTGCATCAGAAAAATGGCTTAACATACACTCTCAAGTGTACTTGGGACAGCTGGTTACTGACAAGGTGAAAAAGATGTTCCACTGTTCCACTTTGTCTTTTCAGATGCAACTGTTCCTCAGTATATGTGAATCTTGTGGCTAGGTTTTCAAGATAAACTCAAGGGTAGCTAAGTAACCGTACGATCCTTGATTTAGCCATGGTGATTATTTAGGCTGAACTATTTGTATCTGGATATTTGTCTTTCTACAGTGATAGCTTAAACCATGGCCAGAGGAGTTACATAGGATATGGTAGTCACTGACTAAACTCGAACAGGAAACACAAGCTGTACCCTTCTCATCATGATCATCCTCCTGAGATTCGGGTCTCCCTGAAATTCGGATCTCCCTGAAATTCGGATCTTCTTGGGTTTTCTTGAGACTCTCATCGTCCCGAGATTCGGATGTTATTGAGACTCAGATCTTCTTAGCTCTGCTCGAGACTCGGATCTTCTTGGCTCTTCTGGAGACTCGGATCTTCTTAGCTCTGCTCGAGATCTTCTTGGCTCAGACTGGGGAAGACACCGAAGCTGTCTGGGTGTAAGTACTGTACAGAAGTAGGCGTCCGTATCTATTTTATTCTCATTCCGCGAGGTAGCCCGTGTGAGTGGCCAAAACGTGTTCACTTGACAGTTCATCAATGCGAGAGTTCGGTTTTCATGAGGAAACATTATTTGCGTTTGCATATCATTTTGTATATTTATTTCTGCCCTTGATTTGATAGCATCTGTGTCATTTGTGTAGTGATGAGAGGTATACATTTGTGTAGAGTATAAATTTTTAACTCCCTCTAGGGAACATTGTAAATGATTCTATGTTGTGATGACTCCCACTATTGGCAGGTTTAATGCATGTACTTGTAAAGTAGCGTCCAGCTCATACGATGATGACAATGTTCATACATGTATTTATATTTTGTGTAAGCCTTATTTGTACAACTAAAATATCTATGACAGTAGATGTTGTGTTTGTGATTATTTTAAGTTGTCCCTGTTGGTCGTCACCCGTTTTGCTGTGCAGAGTTTCCTCCCTTTGTCATGCCAGGATCCAAGATTTGTGCTTATTATTGTCATGGCATTGTAAACACCATACAAGTGTTTGGTAACCAATATATCTGTAATACTGTCCAAAGTAGCCTTAAACCAACATGACCGTCTCTGTGGTCGAGTAGTAGAGCGTCCACACTGAGTGCGGAATGTCGGGGTTCGATCCCCGGACGCGTCATACCAAAAGACGTTGAAATAAGGTACTTGTTACCCTGCCTGGCGTTCGGCATTAGGGGGCAAAACAAGGACTGGTTGGCATGTCAGTCAGTATACTGCGGCATGGTATCTTAGTGGGCTAGCGCTATAAAATCGGCATCAGTCCGCACAAGTACAAGCAGCCACATACGCGCACGTGGTTACTATAAAGTGCAATAATCTTGGACGCAACGTTAAACCCCATTTCACCTCCCCTTAAACCCAACCCAACTCTCTCACTCCCAAGGATTCTAATCCTGGTTGTATGTTATCATTAAGATGGTAAGAATAGTACTGCTTATGGGGAATTGTTGGGGGCAAGGCAGCAGTGTCTTCAGACTATCACTTTTACCAAACAGAAGTATCACCAACAAGTCAAAATCGACAACATTGCCCGATGTTCACGATTACTAATTCACCAGTACAATAGTTTCAGTTGTGATATAACTGAAATACTGTTCAAAGTGGGATGATCTCAACTCGCGCTCAGATTTGAAAACTTGTTTGCATTCTCAATAGAAAAGTGAAAATTTACAATTTTCTAACAATGAATGATTAATTGCACAATGATCTAATCTCCTTGTTCATCTCGTTGAAGCAGTAGTTTATTCTTTCGTAAAGTGGACTTAAAAAACAATACAGAAACCGAAAGCTGACTACATTAGCGAAACAATTAAAACAACCCCCAACAAGTGGATCCACTTTTCGATATATTTTACGAGAGCTTCAGAGTAAAAATTGACTGTCTTCTTGGTCTTGTGGGTAAAGCGTTTGTCCAGAGAGCGGGAGGTTGGTGGTTCGAAAACATGACCGCGTCATGGTACTTGTTACTCTGCATTAGGGAATGAAACAATTACTGGTCAGCTCTGAGTCCTTATACTCCGTGAAAACTGCGGCTTGGTATCTTTAGTCCAGACCAGCGCACCACGCACGCACATACGTGTATTCATGTCGCTGTACAAGCGCAAGAATAAGCTGAAAGGCGCTGTTTAACCATATTTCAACTCACCTCAAGGTACAAGTATTTGGCGCTACCTAATAATGACTACGATTGTCAGTTAACTGGCTCTCATGAAAATGTCCAACAGTGCAAATAAGTACATCACCCATTAAGATGATATCGTCGAACCACGTGTAACACCTGTAAAAGCGTAGCAACCCATGCTTGTCGTAAGAGGCGACTATGCGTAAGAGGAGACTAACGGGATCGGGTGGTCAGGCTCGCTGACTTGGATGATACATGCCATGGTATCGCAATACATAGATCGATGCTCATGATGTCAATCACTGCATTGTGTGGTCCAGACTCGATATTTTTCAGACCAGCGTCATGTAGCTGGAATATTGCTTGTCGCCTGTTACGGCAAGCATGGGTTGCTGAAAACATATTTTAAATCCCCCTTAACTAAATATTACTACAAGTTATTTACCACTCTCTAATGATTCACCAAATATTTCAGAAAACCTTTGAATTCGGGAGTCTGGTCATCCTCGGTTATCCAGTGTAGAATTATCTCCATTCAGGTATGATCAATACCATGGACCCTAGAAGAGACATTCAGGTGTAAGAGCGTGAGTTGGGTTTAACGCCGCTTCGAAAAGTTATATCACGGCGTGTCAGCTTAATGTGGGAGGAAAGCCCGAAGTGATGCAGGTCTCAGACGTTTACCACTTTGATGAAACCCACGAGCACGGGTATGGTGCTGACAAATCTAGAAACATAATCGAGGCGAACCGGGGTTCGAACCCACAATCATAGGTTTCTGGCGAATTGCGGGGCTTTATGCGACTGGGCCATCCATGTCCCCCTCAGATGTGAAGAGAAGAAAAGAATGTAAGATGAACTGACGTCACAACGTCACTATAAAAAGGGTATCCTAGGTGCGAAGGCTGTCAGACTTGAACATAAACCAACACTCTGAGTGAGTGAGTATTGTTTTATGCCGCTTCCAGCACTATTCAAGACAATATCACAGCGGGGAACTCCAGATGTCGGCTTCACTCATTGTACCCAAGTCGGGAATCAAACCCGGGTCTTCGGCGTGACGAGCGAACGCTTTAATCACTAGGCTACCCCACCGCCCCCAACGGTGTGTTGTCAATGTGATTAACAGGTGAAAAACATATTGTTTATGCCTTTGTAACAATGACTGGATGCTTTTATGAAACTGTAAAAACTGGATAACGACTATTACAAACAATGAAAGTGCAAGATTAAAGGTGATAGAAAAAGCTACCACACGCCTGAATGGCTCGTCACAGCCATGTTATTATCCCTTGTCTCGAACTACTTGGGTACGAGAGAAATAGTTCATCCTATCCGTGTTTCGACTAATCCAACTCGATCTAATTACTATCTGACATAGCCGGGACCGGACTGTGAGTTCCACACAACCGGGAATTCGACGCATTCGAGACATCGGGGTTCGGGTGTAGTTGCAGATTGTGAAGGCCATAGCAAGCGCTCCAGGTAGCATTACTTCGATATATATGCTAACATATTTTTACCATTGTCACTACACGACAGTCACCATAGAGTTTCCTCCCTTAGTCTTGCCAGGATCTCAGGTCGCAGTGTTCCAGGTGGTATTATTTTCAATTCAGAATATCGATAAAGTAAAAATATTCTGTATTTAATTCTTTTACATAAAATATTTCTTATTTTATTTCTGAATTTTATGTACTACGTATGTATTTGTTATTGCACGCACGCACACACGCACGCACGCACACACCTTTTAACTGAGTCATAGAAGTAAAGTAACGAAGGTCGGGGATTGCATGTGGATGAGTGTCTCCTCAGAGTGTCAAGGGCTTCGGTTCTGTCCCACAATAGTGAAATGGGGTAAAACGTCGGATTCAAGATTATTTCACTTATATAGCGACCTTCATGTACCTGTGTGTGTGGCTGCTTGTACTAGTCTGGTTTAATGCCGATTTTCTAGTGCTAGCCCTACTGAGATACCATTCCGCAGTTTAACATGAATACCCAGCTCAAACACAGTATTCTGACTCCGAGCCGACCAGTCCTTGTTTTGGCCCCTTAATGCCTGCCGAGTACCAGGCAGGGTAACAACAAGTACAATAGTTTAACGTCTTTAGGTATGACACGGCTGGGGATCGAACCCCGACACTCTACCACTAGACCACGGTCTGCCCAACAATGAAAGACACTTTACGTGATTGTGGTGTCGCCTTAGACAGGAGACTTTGTTCGATACAGTAAACTACGGTTATAACGAACTCAAAGGGACCGCTTATTCTAGTTCGTAATAACCGTAGTTCGTTATAAGCATATATACAGCATATATGCAACAAATGGCCAGGACTAAAAATAAGTTCGTTATATCGGCCAGTTCGTTATAAGCGTCTTCGTTATAAACGTAGTCTATTGTATATGCCCCTGTTCACTCGGCAGTGAAAGGGTACCCGGTAGGACTAGATGGTAGCCATCGGTTGGATACTATTTACCGCTATATATATATAGCTGTGTTGAAATGTAGAGGGAAAAGTGTTTCGTAGTTTCCATAATTAAAGACAAAACATTCGGCGGATATCATTGTTACCGTTAGAGGATGCCAGAAGAAACATACATTGTTGACTCTTATTTTGTTTACATCTTTATTTTGTTTATTCGTGTAGCTTAATCGTTTTTTAAACATTCAAGTATCTCTTGACAAATTTGACAAACAATATTGACGTTGTTAGCGTCAGTGTGTTTTTAGAATTTCTTAATTTCCACGGTTTCTTTGTTTAAGGATAATTGGGAAAACATAAACACGGAAACAGTTATTTAAAAAAATAAACAAAGATTTCGAAGGACAAATAAAAATTCCCTTATCCACTCAAGCTCCGATATGAGTCAATCATCAGCATAATTTTTTAAAGGAAAAAAATCCATTAAAGGGAGCTAACTGACACTAACTTGGCAACAGATTGCAATTTGAAAAGAGTTTCCTCCCTTGAGTCGTACATTTCTCGTGTCACCTCGTCGTTAAGGGAATTCGATGTGTTGTATGGTGGAGGCCCGGCAGTCGCGCTTGAAACTTCGACGTTTTTCTTGTTCAATATTCTCCATCCTTGTGAGATCGAATAAAGTATTTGCCCGACCAGACTGCTCGCGACAAACGCAGGCAGACTCCGTACTATACAAACATTTTTAGTGAGCAAATGAAAGAAGCTGGAATTACACAGCCCGCGTGACGATATGGCGATGTAGCCCCGGGGGCAAATTCTGCACATCTTCACATTATTGGTACGTTCATATTCACATATACTCATTTCATATAGCATCTCGTTCATTTTGTGTGAAAAGATACTTTCAAACATTATCATCTTTTTCTGCGGAATACGATCTTCTTTACACGGGTATTTTTTTAGATATCCCCATATTCCCCCTAAAGCTTGTACTTATGTTATGTTTACGTCACTTATTAATCTGTAGCATATTTCATCATGGCCTTGCGTTGGACGCTCGCTATGCTAGTTAATACCAACCAGACTCGCCACTAATTTAACAACTCGTTACAACAGTGCATATGTACACGTCCGTCGTGCATATATATGCGTTGGTTGTACACATATTGTTGTTATCCAAATCGGCTAATATGTTCTTTTTGTTTTTGTTAGTTGATTAGGTTCCTTGCTTTTTGAAAGATTTGGAAATCGAAACTCATTTCAAATTTTGTTTTTTAAATATCTGCCTATCAACTTTATTTGCCATATGGATTTAGCGGAGTTGAACAAATCAAACTTTAATATTACACATTTCAGGGTTAGCGTTAAACTGAAAAGTGTGTGCTGTAATACCGCCATGTTCATCTGCCCCGTAAAATAAACTCACTGACCCTTCAATAACACAGCGTCCCAACAATTCGCCATTTTTTACAACGGGTGAAAACACCAAATTAGTTACTCCTTCACGACTACAAAGTCCAATTCATTTGGCATAAAAGGGGCTTTCAACCGTAAGCACTAACTGTGTCTCTTTTAACCGATGTAAAGGTCAATTAATTCATTTTAGTGAAAACCATCATATGGAAATTGTAATTGACTGAGAGAAAATTCTAGTGACGGAGAGAGAAAGAAAACACTTTAAAGTTCACCCCGATTAATTGTCGAAAATAGGGAACAATTGTCAAAATACGACGTCTTTCATTTTTCCGAGCCGTTATAAAGTCGGTTGAGCTAAATGAGTAAGAATTCTTATGATCCAATTAAAGCTAAGAGATGAAAGCATTTGTGTGGCTATTTTACGAGACGATTTTTCATCTTAGCCCAGTCTCCTTGACGAGGCTATTGAACAGAGTTTAATCTCAACCAGCTGTTTCAAACAAAGAGACATATTGCATCCAGCGCTGCCGACATCACACAAACTTTTCGCTTGTAATGTTGCCTCTGTCGGCCAAGATGTTGCACGGCGATCGTCCCAGGAAAACAAAAATATTTGGGTTTGCATGCTTAATAAAATTTTCTCTCCCTTGTTGGAAACTGAAAGTTAATCTGAGGTTATTTCAAGATACGGATTTCTCACCGATGAAGACGAAATTAATCGGTCGGTTTGCGCGTGACCGTCGCGTGCAGGGAGACGGAGCCCCGTCGCGTCACCTTCTCTTACGGACGGGAATTTCTTTCAGCACGCGACTGGAGTTTTTCTGTGAATCTTGGGAGAATCGGAATCAAATCAAATCAAGTTTCCAACTCAATTTGCCGTTTGTCCTCCCAGATGAGAAGGCGCGCTTCTAACCCAACTTTCACTATCCGACGGTGCGAGGCGCGTAATTTTGATAGCCAGGAAGACAAATAGAGAGAGATTTGGGGGTTTGGGGCAGGATTATCACTATGGACAGCCGAGTTAGTTGTTCCTGCTTTACACGTCAGTTTCATCAAATTTTATCACGGAATTGAAACGAAATCAGATTGCAGATTGAAAGTGAAATATAATCTGAGATTTGCTTTAAAAAGCGTGATGTGTGATATTATACTGTTGCCCAAAAGTTAATAGATGACTAACGTTAGTTAGATATCAATATGCTAACTAACTAACACAAACTACAAAACGAGACACGAATATTAATGCCCGATACATATGTCTTTTTTACTTTAGTTTTTGTGATATATGTCCGAATGTATCCAGCGTTGAAGAATGCGCAATTCTCGTTCGATCTTCTTGCTGTTTCATCAGACAAAAAAGGTTGAGATTGAAAACAATATATGTATTACAACTAATTAAATTAAATTAAAATACCACGAATACCTGGAACGTAAGACCCACATGTAAACAGCATTTCCCCCCAAAAGCAATCTTAAATAATTACCGATGTTAACATTTAATAATTTTACAGAAATTCCAATAAGCACGTTCATATATTTATTCAAACTTCGTGCAAACAGTAAAATACTTCATTGGAAATTGATAAAACTAAAGTAAATATATAATTTGGGAAATTTTCACGTAAATGGATGATATTTAATACAGCTGGTTTGAAGTTCTGTTACCACGGAGCACTAGGTTAGGCTAAGCCCTGCGATTCTTAGCGTATTCACAGTCACGTGCAGCGTTTTCTACGAGTGCACAAAAGTAGGATTAACAATTCCGAAACGAAAATTTGTTTGTTGAATTCCATATGTTGCCGGGGGGTATTTCATCTGCACGTTGTCCCCGAGCGACAGCTTGCTACGGGACATTTCTATTCTTGAATCAACACTCTGCAAAAATACCTTTTCAACTGCGTTAGAAATATTAAGAATATTCCTTAAATAGAAATAAAATTGAAACGAAATAGAATAGAGAACGGTGAATCTATAGATGCATGAAATAGTTGCACTAAAATATGTTAAGATATTCATAAACCTTCACAACGTTATTTAAAAACTTATTATTAGACAGATTTTCATACACGTGTCTAACACAAAATAATAATGAGGACGAATTATAGTTGAACTGTTACCAGTATTTAATTATATATATATATATGTGTATATAAAAAATATGAAGCCCACTTTTTCAATGGCAACTTACAAAAAGTACTCCATTGTTTGGCTAGGTTAGCCTAATATATCAAACTATGAGAATAATATTTGCTAAATATTAAGACGTAATATTATTTTTAACCGACAGAAAATATTTACCACACAATTAACTGTAGATAGAGTAAGGGACATGAAAAGGATTTTTACTTTGAACCGCTCGCTCTAAACTTCGGGGAGGGTTGTACGAAAATAGGCATATGCTGTAAATGTGTTCCCTGCGGTTTTTCAACACTTTCTTCCTAATAACTACATTCATATCTCAGCAGACTTCGCATGCTTGAGCGCAATTTCTCGAACACAAACAATCAATATTCAATTAGAATGAAGTAAGGCCGACAATTAACTCATTTAATGGTTCGGGCAGATCTCATATCTCTGACCTCATCCACCCTCGAGCTGATCTCAACTTGTGAAAAAATGAATTAGGTGTAGACTGCCTCCCCGGGATAAACGTGCTGAAGGAAAGGATCATCGACAAAGAACTTCTCGTCTAATATCACCTGTAATATGTTTGCGATATTCTCGAAGAAAGGCCGGTGAAATTGTATTTACACTGAGCTCAATCAGTTTCTACGAATGAAAAGTTTGGGCCGGGAGGAAAGTCTCAAAGATCAGTGCTGGTTAAACACTTAAGACTGAGTTTTCTTTCATTGAAATATACAATGGCTAACTGGCGACACAGGGGGGCAAAGAAAGGATTCACGTCTAAACGCTTTAGGGTGAATCGGACTGAAAGCTGACAGAAATGACAGGCATGCTCGGAAGAAGAGAAACTGCTTTCTCTGACTACCCTACCCTCCCTATACTCGACCCCCACCCAGCTTTCAAAGATTGTGGCACGCGCCAACTTATGAACTCCATGTCATCTGATTTTGTTCTGGCGAGTGGAGTTTGCTCTTGTCGCGACTCGCTTCAAATACTCCCTTTTCACTTGTTTTATTTATTCACGCGGTATGTAGTTTTGGCGATAAAGGAAAGAGGTTTATTTACATTTTACGATAACGTCAGGGCCATGTGTAATATTAATCCCAAGGTTACGTCAATAAAACTACATTTCTGACAAGGTTGGGAGTATACATGATGTATACTGGCCCATAACGAGTTTTAATGATGACGTGACAGCAATGGTGATGATGATGATGATGATGATGATGATGTTGTTGATGATGATGTTGTTGTTGTTGATGATGATGATGATGTTGATAATGACGATAACAAACACAATACTGCTACTAATTAAAAATACAGTTATTATATTCGCTCCTCTTTTAAAGGGAATCCGCGCGACAGTAATAGTGATGATAATAACGACAAATACGATATTAGTCATTCAAAATGAAATAAACAAGGGTGAAATTCTTCTTTAAAGAAAAAACGTGCGAAAGCATCAACAACAACAACCAGCTTGATAACGGTGTATGAATCTACAACAATAATAATAATAACACTGTTTATGGTTATGATATAAATAGTTATATTTTTTCATCAATTGAGGGGAGCGTTTTTATCATCTTTCAGCACCTACTGACAAACCTGTTTTCTATTCACAGAGACGGGTCGTGACTTTAGCCAACCTTACGACTGAAACTCATGATTTGCACGTGGGAAATCAAATCCCAAAACGAATAGTTATTGAGTAGCTACTTTGAAAGTGACAAGTTAATTTAACAAATTGTATCTTCGCTATGCTACACCAGTGTACAGCACTTGCAGATTCGCCGGTAGTTGTGAATAGGGCGTTTGACTGGGGACCCCGTTTCTGTACACGGTCACCTGTGTCTCAGCGTTCCCCCTACTTTCCCCATTTCCCAGGTAGCGTACCCACCCCTCCCACTCATATAGACACAGGTAGAGCCTTTCATCTCGCCGACTGCGACCCCCGTCAGTGATAAATGAGCGACTGTCTGTGTTACCTGTGCATGGTTGTGTCAATTTTTAGAATTAATACAATGTTTAATTGAGTTATTATTATTATTATTAATAATAATAATAATAATAATAATAATAATATTATTATTATTATTATTATTATTATTATTATTATTATTTTCTAGTGTTAATACATTTGTCTGTGCTGTAATATGATTTTGAATACGTCAAGTTTTATTTCTTAGATATTATGATTTTTGTAAGATATCTTGCTTCCACTGGTTCCGATACACAAACCACGGTTAGAAGTAAATTAATATCAACACACGTGACGTGAAGACTGCATGGAAGATA